CTTAAGACTACATGCACCCCAATGTTTATAGCAGCAATGTCCACAATAGCCCAAACTGTGGAAAGAGCTAAGATGTCCATCGACAGATGAATGGATAAAGAAGATGTGGTATATAAATACAATGGAATATTATGCAATCATCAAAAAAACCATGAAATCTTGCCATTTGCAATGACGTGGATGGAACTGGAGGGTATTATGCTGAGCGAAATAAGTCAATCAGAGAAAGACATGTATCATATGACCTCACTGATATGAGGGATTCTTAATCTCAGGAAACAAACTGAGGGTTGCTGGAGTGGTGGGGGGTGGGAGGAATGGGGTGGCTGGGTGATAGACATTGGGGAGGGTATGTGCTATGGTGAGCGCTGTGAATTGTGTAAGACTGTTGAATCACAGATCTGTACCTCTGAAACAAATAATACATTATATGTTAAAAAAAGAAGAAGAAGAAGAAGATAGCAGGAGGGGAAGAATGAAGAGGGAGAGTCGGAGGGGGAGATGAACCATGAGAGACAATGAACTCTGAAAAACAAACTGAGGGTTCTAGAGGGGGTGGGAGGATGGGTTAGCCTGGTGATGGGTATTAAAGAGGGCATGTTCTGCATGGAGCACTGGGTGTTATACGCAAACAATGAATCATGGAACACTACATCAAAAACTAATGATGTAATGTATGGTGATTAACATCACATAATAATATAAATAAATAAATAAATAAAAAGGTTCATTAAAAAAAGACTATCAGCTCCTCCCCCTGTTCTCCCCTGCGCGCGCTCTCTCTCTCTCTGTCTTGCTCTAAAATAAATACGTCTTAAAAAAGAAAAAGAAAAGGGGGCGCCTCGGTGGCTCAGTCGGTTAAGCATTTGCTTTTGGCTCAGGTCATGACCCCAGGGTTCTGGAATCCAGCCCCGCACTGGGCAACCTGCCCAGTGAGGAGTCTTCTTCTCCCTCTCCCTTTGCCCCTCTCCTCCCCTGCTTGTTCATGCTCTCTCTCTTATTCTCTCAAATACATAAATAAAATCTTTTTTTTAAAAAGAAGAAAAAGAAAAATGATCTCACTTATGTGGAACCTAAAAAAACCTAAAAGATACAGAGAACAGATTGGTGCTTGCCATTTGCAGTGGATGAGAGTGGGCAAAATGGGTGAAGGTGAGCAAAAGGTACAAACTTCTGGTTATAAAATAAATAAGTAATATACAGAATAGTTACTATAGTTAATAATACTGAATTGCATATTTGAAGGTTGCTAAAAGAGTAGATCTGAAGAGTTCTCATTACAAGAAAAAAATTTTGTAACAATATATGGTTATGGGTATTAACTAGACTTATTGTGGTGATCATTTCCCAATATATACAAATATCAAATAATTACATTGTATATCTGAAATGAATACAATGTTATGGGTCAACTATATTTCAATTTTTCAAATAAACTTAAAATTAGAAATAAATGTTTATTATTTTAATTAATGGATGTTCCATATAAAAATTACGATCTTCCTAACTAAACATGGAGACTATAAAATCCATAAAAGAAAAATAAATATATTTTAATATAGAAATATAAAAAACACTTTTACATGGCAAAATATACTATAAACAAATCAATATAAATTGTATAGGAGGAAAAAAAATTGTGAAATAGGTAAAAGATAAAAGTTAATATCTGTTTTTTACAAAAAACTTTCCTAAACTGAAAAAAAAAACTTTTCAAATAAAAATGGGCACGAATTTAATTGACAAATCAAAGAAAACCAAATACAAATGACAATATGCTCAAATTCACTGGTGGTATGTGGAATTAAAATTAAAGTTACAATGATATATAAAACCACTATCGATTTTAGAGATAAGAAAGGGTGCTCATTACTTGCTGGTGGAAATTAAAAGTATGACAAAATTCTTGGAACGTACTCTAGCAACACATTTTTTTAAAAGATTTTATTTATTTATTTGACAGAGAGAGACACAGTGAGAGAGGGAACACAAACAAGGGGAGTGGGAGAGGGAGAAGTAGGCTTCCCGACCGAGCAGGGAGCCCAGTGCGGGGCTCCGGGGGCTCGATCCCAGGACTCTGGGATCATGACCCGAGCTGAAGGCAGACGCCTAACGACTGAGCCACCCAGGCGCCCCTCTAGCAACACATTTTAAAATTAAAATTATTAATACCTTTTGATGTGTCTGTTCCATGCCTGAAAGTGAATTTCACAGAAATAAAAGCACCAATATTTTAGAAATATGTAAATGATAGTTGAGCATGGTTTATGAGGGCAAAAGAACACTTGAAACGGGTGCCTGGGTGGCTCAGTTGGTTAAGCAACTGCCTTCGGCTCAGGTCATGATCCTGGAGTCCCGGGATCGAGTCCCGCATCGGGCTCCCTGCTCAGCAGGGAGTCTGCTTCTCCCTCTGACCTTCCTCCTTCTCATGCTCTCTGTCTCTCATTCTCTCTCTCTCAAATAAATAAATAAAATCTTTAAAAAAAAAAAAGAACACTTGAAACAAAGTGCTCATCAACAAGTGAATAACTGAATATATCAATGATTCATCCTGCATTATGAGGTACTAGACAGCTATTAAAAGTATCAGATTTGTGGGGATTTCCAAAGACACTGGTGTTTGAGAAGTGTAAAATGCATAATCTATCCTAATAAACTTTCTAAAATAAACAATAACAAAGAAATCCACCAGATGCATGCACGTGTGGAGCAATTAAGTGACTGCAAATAAATATGTGAAAAGAAAATCACAAGCCTCCTTTGTATTGGATACCTGACGGGAATGGTGATGTGCCCAGAAGAAAATGAGGAGGGACTAAACCAAAAGAGTTGTTTTTTTTTTAAAGAAACAAAAATGAACTGGGGCACCTGGGTGGCTCAGTCGGCTGGGTGTCTGCTTTTGGCTCAGGTCATGATCCCAGGGCCCTGGGATCGAGCCCTGCATCGGGCTCCTTGCTCACCGGGGAGAGGGGAGGCGTTTCTTCTCTGTCTCCCTCTGTGCTCTTTCTCCTCTCTGAAGTAAATAAATAAAATATTTTTTAAAAAGAAAAAAATGAACTTTTAAAGGACATTTTTGTAAGAGGTTATGTGCTCTTTAAAAGAAAACACATATACGGGCATATGTATAAATTTTTTAAATAAAGACATTTGTTTTAAAATTCTCATTAGCCTCACTAAACAAACCTTTCTGAACGCTTAAGTATTCATAATGTGTGGTTTCTTGTAAATGTGCACATAGGAAATAAATACTTACAAACTGTTAGTAATACTAAAAAAACCCCGCACAAATGATTAGCATTATGGGCAATTTGTTATGGCTTTTTATTTACGATTTCAATCTGAACAATTATTTATTTGTTTGTTTGGAGAGACAGAACAGGTGCGTGGGGTGGGGGGAGAGGTAAAGAGAGAGGAAGAGAGAGAAACTTTAAGCAGGCACAACACTCAGAGCTAGCCCCACCTGAGGCTCAATCTCCCGACCTTGAGATCAGGACCTGAGCCGAAATAAAGTCCGAAGCTTAACCGACTGAGCCACCCAGGCGTCCCAATCTGAACAATAATTCAATCCATGATGTCAATAACACTCATTAAATACCATGACGACGAGCAAAATCAAAGAATAATGTTACAACTGAGAATGACGAACCTTAAACGATATCACTGAGAGTTAGGCTAAAAGAGTAGGGCAGTTTCTAATACGAACTCACCTCTTTCAAATGTTCTAAGTCTGGTTCTCTTTCACCGGTACCCTCCGTAGAACTCAGACACGGAGGAAGGCTGGGGCTGAAGGCCATGAGGTCGGTCTTGGGCGGGGGCGGGGGCGGGGGCGGGGGCGGGCCCTCTCCAGAGCACACCCTCTGCCGCCTCTGCTGCGAGTACGACCAGCTCCCCACCGCGCTGGAGCACACCAGCGTGGGCTTCCCAGGCGCGCACGCGCCCTCCGCGGGCGGAGCCGAGCAGCGCAGCGCCGTGTACAGCAGCAG